GCTCATTGTTATGAAAATGTTTTATTTCGCTTGTTTTGAACAGGTCCTCCTGGAACGGGGAAGACATCACTATGTAAAGCACTTGCACAGAAACTATGTATTAGACTCTCAGATAGGTAAGTCATACATATTAATGGTATGTTGTCTAGATAAAGACAAATTGATACTGGTGCATTCTGCATTATACAAATGTTTTTTATTGCAATGGAAGAGTATTTCTATGAGTAGAAATATGGACATTATTTTTTTTATAATACACCAAGATAAATCCCTCTCATTTGATATTTTATGAAAAATAAAGTTAGGTATACCTGTGGCTTTTGTGCCTGGAAGAGTTCTTAGCGCAGTGGTGTCATTTCATAGCCAGGATTTGGACGTCTGGAAAAAAGTGCCTGTAGGCATGCAGGTGAACAAAATGAAAAGAAATGGAGTTGATGAAAGCCAAATAACATTTTATTAAGTGGTGTAAATTGTTAACATAACATGATCTTGAATCCACCAATCACAATATATTTAGTATTAGTAATTAAATTATAGTGTAATGTACGATTGTTTTATCTTGTATAATTTCCAGGTACACTTATGGTCAACTAATTGAAATCAACAGTCATAGTTTATTCTCCAAATGGTTTTCAGAGGTACAGTATTTTACTGAATATATTGCTATATTACTTATAATATTTACTGGTGGGAGCCACTGTTAATGCACTGATCTGTGAAGGCCCATTCTGCTCTTTGGTTTCTGGTTCAAATCTAATCGCTGGTCTCCATGTGTTTCAGCAGGCAGGTGAAAATAGAAGTTATAGCATATTAATACTTCAATACTTGTCTGGATGTACTTATATATACCATTTTCCTTTTTGTAATTACAAAAATGTAATGTAATAATAACAAAATGTTGTAGATTTTCAATAATATTTCAGCCGCTCCAAGTTTCTTTCCTGTTCTTTCTTTCTTCTGTTCCTGTTGATAATATACTAAAATTAATATATGGTAAGCCTCCCTAGTCAAGCCTAGGGCCTAAAACCTAGGTCTGGAACTTTCATGAATATCATGTGCATTGTAAACCCATTGTTTAACACATTTCAATCTTCCTATATTCAAAGCCGAAGTTAGTTCTGGTCTCATGCCAGTCTCACCCCCAGTATCCCCTGATTATAAATTTACGGGAAATCAGCCGATAGTGGCACATAATGCATTTTGCTTGTTTTTTACCCAGTATAGACTAAAGTGATGTCTTACCACCATGGAGATTTATGGTTTTGTTTTATGACATTCAAAATCAAGAATTCACTTACTATCTGAAATCTAGATTATAAATTGCAGTTATATTATTATTTTTTTCAGAGTGGTAAACTTGTTATGAAGATGTTTCAAAAAATTCAAGAGTTGATTGATGATCCAAATTCCTTGGTGTGTGTACTGATTGATGAGGTGAGTTGGCCAGTGATGGATCCAGATGGAACTGGGATGCATGCCCTGTGTTTGCGTCCTATCCTTGGATAATTAAAAATGTATCAATTTCATTATTGAAGTACAATCAATTCCCCCCCCCCCCCAAATTTTGAAATCATCTCCCTCTTATTCTTTAAACATACTTTATAAAATTTGCCATCAAATTAGATGGAATTGGGATGCATGCCCTGTGCTTGCTCCCTATCCTTGGATATTAAAAAATTTATCAATTCCGTTATTGAAGTACAATTTATTTCCCCCCCCCCCTCACTTTTTTTAAATCATCTGTCTGCTATTGTTTCAACTTTTTAAAATTTGCCATCGAATAAGTGATTAATGAATAGTACACAACTGTTTCTTTAATTAGATTGTTTTTTGCACTAAAAGCCAAACCCTGTCCCCGCTGAGTTAAGTTAATTTGACAAATAAAATAACTTGCTTTAAAATTCAATATAACTTATTAGGCTGCACATGAGTAGAAGAGATTGGCGCAACGGTTGTGGCTTGGGGGTTTGAAATCCTTGTGCAAATCGCTTGTCTCCCTTAGGCAAGACATTTTATCTACCTTTGTCTCCCTCCACCTAGGTGTATAAATTGGTACCGGCATATGTTGGGAATGTTAAAACAGATTGCAGTGCCGGGGAGTGGCGAACCTCCCACACCCTTGCAAAGTCTGGCCCAAACGCCTAGGGGAGAGAGAAGGGCACTCTAAACTGTGAACCCAGAGCGTCAAGTTTCTTTATCTTACATGTTTATTCTTAGAGATGTGCACACTATTAGCCTTGTTTACACGGCAGGAGATCACCGCGATGATCACGTTTATCCGTTGATATATGTGTTAAGTAACCATGCAGAGTTGGTAACTCTGCATAATCACGATGATCTACACAGTTAACTCTGCATCGCAGCGGTGTTAACATAGATCATCGGCGTGATCTTTATGCAAATTAGCTGTTTGACCTGTGTGAGTCATCGCTATTGATAAACAGTGTGATTACAATTATTATTATTTGAAATATTATGTTTTTATCAATTACCTACATTTTAAAACTTTTTTGACAAAGGGTTTCAAAACAAGCAGAAATGCATGCGTTTTTTCAGGTCAGTTGTAATCACGCGACTTCCTGGTACAACCGATAAATTTTTTTTATCGTATAGATGCGCGACTGGAGATCATCAGTGTTACCTATCTGATAGCAAATGGCCGTGTGACAAGGCTATTATCTCAAAATGCCATTGCCAGCATACATTAATCATAAAGAAAACCACATAAAAGTGTTTAAAAATTTCCTGCTTTATGACTATTATTGAATTCATGAATGATGACACCCAATGCACTTACACTACACACTCCTGTTTATTAAATTGTATGCTCACTACTGTCTGTTTATCATCCCATTGACAATATAGGTGGAGAGTTTAACAGCAGCAAGGAAGAGTGCCCTCAATGGAACTGAGCCATCAGATGCAATACGTGTTGTCAATGCACTTCTTACACAGATTGATCAAATCAAAAAGTGAGTTCCATTTCTTTTTAATGATAGTTATATTACATTAAATTACAAAGGCTTTAGTCAATCTGAAAATGTATTCTTATGTTACCTGTGGTGTGTATTTTTAGAAAAAGAAGAGTACATGATGATGGTCATTAATAATCACTTCGTAAACTTTCTGAAGGCCTAATAATTCTTTTGCATGGTTAATTTTGTTGGTAAAATTGCATGCTGTATTGTATTCGCTGCCGTGTGGCAGGAGCAATCATTCAAATTAAAAATGTAGTTAGGAGTATGGACCTAACTGGAAACAAATGGGATCTGTGTATAACTTTGCTTATTTTGTGATTTGATTGGTAAGGTTATGTATACAGTGATTAGTTTTGGTTGTGGTGATGTTTCAAGCTATTGACTAAGTGTCCCATTTTCCAGGTAGTGTATCAACTTTAACTGTTCAGGGTTGGAATGTATTTTAATGCACTGTATGAAAATCAAAATTTCATACCGTATATATAGATTTGTATCATTTACATATCTTCTAGGTACCCTAATGTTCTGATCCTGACCACATCCAATGTAACTGGTGCCATTGACTTAGCATTCGTAGACAGAGCTGACATTAAACAGTACATTGGACCACCATCACCTGCAGCCATCTTTAAAATTTACCTCTCCTGCATCAATGAACTCATGAAGGTAAAGCTTGTTTTCCATACAATCGCTACAGGCTATCGCTGACAGTTTTTAGGTTATGCTGAGTGGTTGGTCGAATCGGGGGCTGCTACACAGTACAACCATTGCAATGAAAACATTGTAGCGACAGTGTAGCGATTTGTAGGCAACCAGGCTTAACATAGGAAGACAATCTAGAAAGACAAATTGATAAGTTATGAACCCCTTTAGATCATGGAGGTATTAGATTCAGAGATGTCCGAAAGGAGACCGATCAAGAAACAACACTACTAAATTACATAGAGGCCTGCAAATAACCTCTGAGGCATTTTGGCCAATCAATAATTTCTTTTTCTTTCTTTCTTTATTTTTTTCTTTAACTTTCCAAAAGAAGGGGGTCTGGCTTTCCCCACAAATCTTCCCCTACCTTTCCATTGTTTCCACTAGAGATTACTGTACTCCTATAAAGCTGTCCTGACTTGAAAAATGCCTTCATTATGCATAGATTACGTTATTCTATTTGGAAGAAAAACACTCTAACCATAACTATTACCTTACTATACTGGTTCATATTCATTTTGCATTTTAAAATAACTAGTATATTGATATTTATTAATATTAATGATATTCTATGTTTCGTCAGGCTTAGGATACATGCTGAGTGTTGTGTGTAATATTCTGTTGATGTCACAAATGTCATGTTAGTCTGATCAGAAAGATGTATTGTGATGTTTTATTTCTTCATTATAGACCGGCATAATTAGTCCAACACAGAGCATTCTGGATATGCGGAGTCTAGAGTCCATGCGTTTTGTAGAGACAGATGTCACAAAATTAAGTCTTTACCTTAAAAACTTATCAGAGTGAGTCATCTGTTTCATTTTTGTTTTACAATTACCTGCCACTGTTGCATCATTCACTGCTTTTTAGAGAAGCTGTAGCTTTCAATTTATCAATCAGTCAATCAAATTAACAGTGGGGGAGCCAGCTTCTGAAATCTATGTGGGGGGGGGGTGTGCAAGTGAGGGGCAAGGTAAAATTTGAGGGGGGAAATAGGCTAGGGTGGACCATGTTAAAAAAAATGTAAAAGATTTTTTCCCAATCATTTTTATACATCAAAAAAAAATTTTTTTTTTCTTTACAGTAAGAGTTATGGACTGAGTGGAAGGTCATTACGAAAGATGCCATTCTTAGCACATGCATTATTTGTCCAGGTAATTTCAATCTTTGATAAAATTAATCAAATCTAGCGATTTATCTTCACATTGAAGATGATAAAGAAGAAGTAATTATTTATTTGATGGTGTTTTTTGCATCAGGAGTTTTAACAAGAATAATGTTTTGCCCTGCTGATGTGTAGTCATACTGCATGCTCAATACGTTCCTAAATACTTGCAAAAAGAAAAATCTTGCAAGGGATTTGGGTGGGAATTTAACCTCCAGATGACCTAGATAACTAGCCTGGCGTTTAACCACTAGAACATGGAGCTTGCATTTAGTAACTAGTGTTGAATCCAATCCCCAATCAGTAGCACATGAACTTCAATGATTTTCAGTGGTGTTTTGCATCTGGAAATTTAATTGGAATGACGGTTTGTGTCATTTCTAAGAAATAACTTAAAGCCGGGCTTTCTATGCATCGTACGACCGTCAGCTGACGAATCTAGCAGTGTGAACCGAGCGTCATTAAAAATGATTCGTTGTGTACATGTTGTAGCGTTGTGTTCTCCACAGAATTGTGTCAGCCATCGAACGTCAGGCACAGATAGAAAAAAATTTAAAAAAAAATATATAAAAAATTGTAAATCGATTAACAAATGTAACAGTTTCTTGCACAGTAGTGTAGAGCTGGGTGAGCTAAAGTACTTTCCCTTCAATTCCACATTTGAATCTGTAAAGAGTTTTTGTAATGGTTTCTAAAATAAAGTAATTTCTCACCTTAGATACTAAAAGAAGCAATTGAAATATTGGATTTCATTGGTTCATCACAGACAGTTTAATGAAAGTGTAAATAATTGAATTTGTTAATTATGTTATGTAAACTTTATAACGTGGCTAATTTAATGGACCTTTCTAGCATATAGCGAACCGCAGGGAGATACACTGAACATATTGATTTGGACGAGATTTTATACTGGTGCAAAGTCTTTATTGAATATACAGTATTGTCGTATACTGCACCGTAAAAATAATATCAAAGTGTGAATCACTCGTTTATTCACAGAATAAACAATCTTCTATAAAATGTGTACGCAAAAGCAGAAGAACGCTCATACGCGCAATATTTGGACCCACTCTCGCAATATTTGGACCGACACACACAATGTAAGACTCTGTACTTAACACAGCGTGTCAATCAACAAATGAGCAATATGTGATTTAACCTTAGTAACAATATCCAAGGGGGCAAAGCGGAAGGGTCCACTGAATATCATAATTATGAGAAATAATTTCTAATTTGTCAATTAATTTGTGATTTTTTTCATTAATTGGATCGTTGATATTTTTTTTTCCAGCGAGCAAGTGTTTCCTTAGAGGAATTTCTTGATGCCCTTTCTAATACCATTTCAAAGCAACTTGAAGACCGAGAGAATCTAAACAAAGACTGATGTCAATCGATCGTAGGCCCCTAATTTTAACTTAGCTCCAGGAAAGTCCAATTGAAAACTATTGGTAGTGTAATAGATTATCAAGCTAGTTGTGCTCCACTCAGTGTCTAAAAACAAGGGTGCACATCAAAAGGCTAGGTGGAGAATCAACCTTTCCGGACTGTCAGTCAAACTAAATTGACCAATCAGAACCCGGCTAGGAATACACCTGTGTCTAACAAACACATGTGTTTTTAAACGTTTATACCACGACAGATGGCTCAACCATCAGTATCAAGTGAGAGTATCCACATACTCAACACTAAGCTTATATGTGGCAAAGGAGTCATGGAAGAGTAAGCTGATTCAGTTTGGACCAGTATAAAAATTGGTACAATTTTGTGTTGAAGAGAGCGGTTGGCTTATAACAGTGGAACTATGGTAATAATGGTAACAACAACATCAACAATAATAACATTAATTTATAGAAAAATTAATTTTCTATTGTCAGCGGTGTAGTGAAATTAGATTAGTTTCTTTTACAAAATCCATTGATGCTATTAGTCAAAAATTTAATTATGGTCTGGAGTCTGAGGCTTATTTTACTTTATGAAAAATAAAGCCCTGTCCAGACTATCAAATTTTATTTGACAAAAACTTGTGACATGCCTAAATATGGTCGTTGATGACATCACATCATGACCATATATAGGCACATCATGACTATATATGGGCATACAACTGTTTTTTGTCAAAATGTAATTTGTCTGAGCTTAAATCCATGGTTAATGCATCAAGTTTATAATATCTGAAATCTGGCCTTTTAAGTATCACACAAGTATTTTGAGCTTTTTTACAAGAAAAAAAATCGACCTTAGATTATTCACGATTTTCGGTCGGCTGGGCTTGCAGGGGCCTGAAGTTGGAAGAAGTCATTTCCGGGAGGCCAGCGGCGGCGGGGCGAATGGTGGTAAAGTCGGAAATGGCCCTGCCAGATTTAAAGTTGAATATAATTTTCTTTTCTGCCCCATTTAAAAAAAAAAAAAATAAACATTTTAGGAGACCCGGGTCGGCTCTCCCCACAGATTTTAACACATTAATTTTATTTTGCTGCACATAGTAATACCCTTCAGCACTGACTTTCATGAGAAAATCGATAATAAAGCAGTAAAAACATGCAAAATTATGAATTTCCGGAGATTGGTTAATCTCCGGGAGATTCTTGCAGGAATGCGTGAGGCCGTTCCGATTTCAGGGAGACTCGCGTGAGTTCTTGGGACCGCTGGGCTTGGAGGGAGCCAGACATGTGAAAAAATCATATTCAAGCTTTAGTAAATTTTAAATTTTAGCCCAGTGCTTACCAATTTACCAATCAAAAACTGATTGATATTTAATACTAAAACTTAGGCCTATGCCTATAGTTAAGAAGAGGGGACATAATTAAATGGTGTTTATACACAAAAACAAAATTAATTTTAATACTTTAAAATAGTAGTTATACCTAATTCTAGTGAGCTAGTGCAGTTTGTTATATTAAAACTTTCATTAATTAATATGCCTACCCACACCCTCCGATGTGCTCGATGGTGTATGTACATTTGTATATGTAAAGTATACAGTTCATTCTATTTATATGTCTGTTTTCAAATAAAGTGTAATTCTTTATTCTTGTTGTCTATGAAAACTTATTATTGTCTTAGTTTATCACGCGTGACAACCACGTTTAGCTTATAAAATAACAGGAAGTGCTGGAAATCGAAAATTTGACATAGATTTTAAATAAATTTAGTAATAACCACAGTATTTTACATGTATATTTAGGCCTACTAAACTTTCATAAAACCACAATAAAAGAATGGGGAAGCGAATTCAAATCTTAAACCTATTTATTACCTATTATTATTATTAGGAATGTTAACTTGCATTATTATTAACTTAGCGCCTTTAGGCGAGCAGATTAGAGGCTATTTTGGGGTGGAGGTGGCAATGGAAGTACTACCGGCTAATTTTGATATTTTCTGAAAATATAGGTCTTGAGAGGTTCAGAACTCAAAATTACCCAAAATCCTTTTGGGGGAACACCTCCAAATTACGCATTCAAAATGGCCACCAATTTTCCGCTTTAAATTATAGTTTTAGCTAAATTATATAAAAAATAACATTACTCGAATAATAATTATCAACAATTGGTACAACTTACTCAAAATATTTATCAATCATCAGAAATGTATCTTGCGTTAAGAAAAACTATAATTTCAATCACCATACCAACCGTTGCTATGCAAATTAAATTTCCTATTTTATTCATGAAATTTAAGTATACAGGAAGCTTAAAGTTTATTATAATCTTCATTTTCATAGGTTTTATAATTGTTAACATTTGAATTAACTATTATTATCATAGAATAGAATTATGTAAAAAAAATCCTGAAACCTTTTATAAAATTGCATAGCAACACTATTTTTATAGTCCATAGCAATGAAGCAAAATCAGCAGAATTGCTCTACATTTGTCATTGACCAAGCAAAAATCATGAGATACAATATTTTATTACTGTATTTATTTTTACAATAAACATCTCTTATTGTTCACAAAGTTAGCACATTGATGTATAAAATACAAGGTCATCAATATAGCAAATGTTGCTATGCAAATTTAAATTTCCTATTTTATTCATGAAATTTAAATATAAGGGATTATGCTTAAAGCTTACTGAAATCATCATTGTCATAGGTTTATGAATATTTTTGTATTTAAGTTATCATAGAAGAGCAATATTTAAGAAAACAAAATCAAGAAACACCTTTATTCAAGTCCTAAACTTTTATAACTCCATAGCAACGAATGAAATTCACGTCATTGCTGTTATTATTTGTCTCAAGTAAAATATTATTAGATTGGCTTATACAATATTTTCTATACAATAAACATCTTTTATACAAAAAAGTGAATTTAATGTTGTCAAAGAATACAATCACCATAGCAACCAGTGCTATGCAAATTAAAATTTCCTAATTTTTCATAAAATAAGTATATATAAATTAGTATAGGATTTATGAAAAATACTTCAAATGAATGAAACTTTATTGTCTTTTCAAATAAATGAAGTATAGGATTTATGAAAAATACTTGAAATGAATGAAATTTTATTGTCTTTTCAAATAAATTAAGTAGGTCTATAATGCTTTTAATTAAGCCTTTTTTTGTGAATTTCATTAATAAAATAATATATAATATAGAAATTTATGCTAAAGGAAAATTATTCTTATTCACCGTAACCATGCAAAGTCAACATAATTATCTTTTTCATAAACCAAGAAAACATTTAACTTTCATATAATAATCAGATGGCTAGAGCTCATTTACATTGCAGAAAAGGACAAAATATGTAGATGTTTTTGAAAAGGTCATAGGCCTATAATGTGGTATCAACGGCGGCGGAAGCGGTGAGGGGGAGTGGGACATTGGCCCACCCACTTTTTCTACTGCCCCCCCCCAACCCATTTTTGTGACTGTTTCCAGCACCAGTGACAAACATTTTACAAACGCTGCAATTTCATCATCATCATCATCATCATCATCATCATCATCATCATCATCAGATTCAAGAGGGGCCTCAACCTCTTAATTTTTTCAACATTATAAATTATTTTTTTAAAAATGGTAAAAACAGACAAAATTGTATTCAACTTTTAATCTGAAAGTGCCATTTCCGGACATCTGGAGGTGCCTTAATCATAATTCTTCTTACCTCAACCCCAAAAGTTGTGCGGATGAGGTGGGTGGACATTTTATTGGCGCAAAACCCTCCATGGGTTCCCTATATTTCGACTTCCTGGACCCGCCACAGTTGGAGTATCATTTCCGGGCTACATAGAACATGGCCGACGGAACCGGGGGGGGGGGGGAGCACCACTTTTTGGCAAAAATATTTTTGTATGATCGGAAAGAAATGCAAAGAAAAGGAAAGGGAAAGAGGAGAAGGATGGAAAAGAGAATGTTTATCCAGTCCCAGACTGAGTTACATTTTCTCGCAATTCACATTGGCGGATCTCGGGAAAAGGGTAATGTGTCCTTAGCCCTCGCTTTGAGCAACATTTTGAAGAACATAAACGTCATTAAAATACAGTTCAAATGTCGGGAAAGCTCATTTCCTGCCATCTAGGAATCAACATTTTCCCGTTGGAGAACCTCCGGACCACACTTTCTTTTTGTGATTTATCAATTCGTGAAAAAAAGAATACGCATGCAGCTATTCATTCATTATGTATGTATACACACATAAAATTTAAAAAATGAGAAAATTTTACCTGACCGTTTTCAAGAGGGTAAAACATTGAATTTTGAAGAACAAAAGTCATTTAAAAGACATTTCAAAAGTCAGGAAAGCTCATTTCCCGCATTCTAGAAATCGAAATTTTCCCTGGGGAACCAAGACCCCTTTTTCTTTGGGGTTCCTTGTTTCATTGAATCATTTGCAAGAGGAGGAAAACCTTTAATTTTTAAATAAATTCAAAGTAATTAAAAGACACATCAGAAGTCGGGAAAGCTCATTTCCCGCCTTCTAGGAATCCAACTTTTCCCGAATTTTTCTGAAATCTGTGACGCATTCAAGGGTGGGGGCTAAATTGTTCAATTTTCTTTTTTAAATGGAGATATAAGCAAAATTATATTCAAATTTTAAGTCTGAGAGGTTAAAGTGTGTTAGCAATAAGATGTTATTTAACCTTATATTACTCATTACCAAATTCTATATTTTTACTTGTAAAATAAAGGTGAGAAAACCAACTACAGGAGAACTTCTTAATAAAATAAGATATTTCCACAAAATAGAAAATCTTATTTACAAAAGAAAACAAAATTTATCAAAATCTAAGGAGAGATTTGATTGTATAAATCATGTGTTGTAATATCTCCGGATTAGTGTTTCCTGTTTAAAATGCTACGATTTGCAAATTTGTTGATAAAATTGAAAGTCTGTTTAAAAAATCGTATTACTGCCAAAAAACCAAACAAAAATAAGTTACAGGAAAAAGGGTTATTTCTGTTTTCCTGTTTATACATGTTTATTTTTAGATTTGGCTTCAAATCTATATGGCAACACCCCCCGCCCTTCCCAAAAAAAGGCCTTGTATTGTTAGTTAAAAGAAAGCTATTACTGAAACCTTTTCTGAATTCTTTCAAAATAATAATTTAATTCCATATGTACTCCTTCCCATTTAAAGTTTGTCTGTTTTTTTGCATATGTTTCCTAGTTCATCTTAGTATACCTTTTGGGGAGCAACACTGAAAATATTTTGTATCTTCTGTGGATTGAGTGTTTAGATTCTAACTTGCTATAAATTAAACATTGTTATGGGCTTGAATTTAAACTGAAATTGTGCAAATAATCCACGTAACTCTACCTTGTATACTCATTTCTAATGTTTTTCTGTTTAAAGTAAAGGAGGTTATACCTACTACTATTGTGTTTAACGTTAAATTAAAATAAGGTACTTCCACAGATTTAGAATGATAATATTTACAAGAGAAAAAATTATTTTTAAAAATGAAATGAGAATGTTATAAATAAGGAATGACTAATGTTTTACTGTTCATTTCCTTTTGCCTTGAATGTCTTTGTCATGTTTTTTGAAGATGAATAAAAATAAATTTAAAAAAAAAGAAAAAAAAAGTAGCGGTTAAAGTTGAGCTGCCAAGAAATATAAAGCTGAACATTCTTCATCTGGTTGAATGGACATATACAGAGAAATCAGAGACATTATAAAATTAGTTTTAATTTTACTAATTTATGTTAATTTTGAGACTAGTTTGAAACCAGCCGAGAGTGAATTTTAAATATTGGGACCTGTATATATAACTGAAAGACGTCTAAGTTTGAATGTATAAGATTCAATTAAAAAGTTGTTAGCACTCCTCGTAGTCGTGCTGATGGCTTTATAAATAGGATGCAAATATGAGGAGGAATAAGATTATTATCGATACGATACATGAACGAAGCGGTTCGAAACTTAATTATCATAAATATTTAAAACATTAAAGTTGTGAAATAAAAATTTAGAGTGTGATTTAAAGGATGCATCATCACAAATCCTTAGAGCTCTCTTTTGCAGTTTGAAAGGTAGTCGATTTTTGCTGATTCTGTTGGCTTACTTGTCCAAGGACATTATATTTCAAATTTAGTAAGTGTCACGCCCCAAATTAAATTGCAATATCACTGGTATGTCAAAACTAAAGTAAATACGTGTCTTGGATGCGAATGTTTTATTTTATTTATCATGCCAATATTTTGCGAAATTGTATTGCTAAATCCTTTGTTTTTGACTTGGGCTTAAAAATGATAATATATATCTATATAGTGTTTGGTGACGAGCGTTACTTGTGATAGCAAAAGTTGCATTTGGAAGGCTTTATAAATGTGGAACAGTAATTTAAGTTATCCACCTATTTCTGTTGATAGCAAATTTTTCGATTTGTCTGCAATTTTTTAACTTTTGAACAAACTCTCCTAAAATGTATAAAATATTACCGGTATGTAATAGATATCCTGTATTTTATTTTAGTATAGTTAGCTGGCCATTCGTTTATTTTTGATTTTTTGAAAATTCAGCTGTTACTAACACTGAGGAGGCCAAAGCTTATCCACTCTTTGATCCGACAATCT